CGAAAGTGGTTTGTTGTTGTGGATGTTGTCGCCAATCGCCAGTCGCCCGCTTTGGAAGGGCAAGGATGTCGACAGGGCGTGTTTGCCCGGCGAGCGACAAGTTCGGCTATTACAGAGTTTAAACGACCGCTGCCGAAATCAGCCCCACCAGTGCGATGCGGTGTTGCCCTTACCAAGGTTAGAGGTTGCGTTCATCGATAGCTAACAACGCCATCAAGTGACTTTGTTTTTGTTTTTTGTTGAGGGGATTTTAGGAGTGTTGTGGTCGAGTCGTTCATATATTTTTTGTGAAAAGACTTTCCACTAGTTTGTTATTATTATTGGTACAATGTTCGAACAACACAATGAAAAATTCCTTCGATCTGGATTCGACCCAGCGTCTGTTGCCGGTCTCTTACTAACTGAGCTACAAACCAAGTCACCAGATCTTATTGTTCTTTTTGAATTTAACTTTCTGGACTTACGGATTTTTCTATTTGCTTGTTACGAATCTTTGTATTGGGTTTAACAGGCTATTTTGCCGTCAGCGCCACCTGCCGGAACTTCGTTCAATTTTATAATTCAATGAACTCTCTGAAATTTGCGATTTAAAGGTCTGAGTGGCACTGCAATTGTTAAGGACAGGCGTGCACCACCACCAGGTACACGACTCGCTCGTCCCGTCATTTGATATTACAAAAATAAACTTAAATAAAATTACACAAAGAAAACAAAATTATTAAGTTTAATATAGACAAGATTTATACATTAACTTTGAAACCAAAGGAGGATATTCATAGTAGGTTTAATATTGAAATGTCGTAAGCGAGAATAATCGAGAAGGCGGACAATGGGAAGTGGACTCCATAATGTCTCAATTACTTTGTGACAAGAAATAGCTATCGGTACTGCCGACGGCGAAACACGGTCGGTCGTCAAACTTCGCTGACCAGTGCGGAAGTTACTACCTTGGTCTTCATTTCTGGCACAAGGTTGGCAAAAAATTACAGGCGTACTCACTTGTATTTTAACCCCGAAGATGCAAAAGAGGGATGAACTCGTTATCTCCCCGTCGGTGTGCGCGTGGAGATATACGCCGTAGCACACGAATAGACGAACCGAATGAACTACGTATTTATTATTGAATTGATATTCAATTATTTTTTGTAAAATTATTCCACTGGTTTGTTATAATTATTAATACAAAGATCGAACACTCAGAAAAAATTCCTTCGATCTGGCTGGACGTATTTATTGTTTTGTTTTTATTTATTTTAGTTTTGACATATACATTTGTCGGCGAAACTTGTTATTTATTTATTTTATTTTTAACCGACTTCAAAAAAGGAGGACGTTCTCAATTCGACTGTATGTTCTTTTTTATTTTATTTTTTTTGTATGTATGTTACGCGATGACTCGAAGGGTGGCTGTTCACGCAAGAAGATTCATTTTTATAAATAGCGCCTAACTTTAATTTGGGAGCAATTACTTTAATGATTGATTTTGCTATTTCTCCAATTCAAGGCGTTTTTCTCTCAATATACTTTGAGTAGTGAGAACCTATTTTTATTATCTCCAGTGTCAAGTTCTGTATAGTGGCGAACTAGGGGATATTTCAATAAAACTTAGCAAGTAGACGTAATTCCACGTACTTTTGAGGTCGGTTTTTTTGTACATATAACATATAATCTCTGTACTGAGATTATATGTTCTTATGTCCAATTAAGACTAGAAAAAATACTGAAATACTTTGACGCTCGTCATCCTAAATATACATTAGAAGGTATATTTTTTCGTTTCTGTTTGTAACCTTTCTCCCTTCTCTAAGGCCCTGTGTTAAAGGCTTTGAATCTGCGATTGACTGTATGACGGGGTCACCGTTTGCCGCCGCGACCGACGCCGGTGCACATCAGTGTGATGTTCCGCCCCTGATTAACGCGAATGTTATCTCGATGGCCTATTGTGTCCAGGCTCTTTGATTAAGACTGTCAATGGTTGTACGACAATTGTTTGATAAGCTTTATTACAATTATAGGTTTGGTTCACTTTCCACGTTAATCTCAGTGTAGAAACAAAATCTGAACACATTAATTGAAGCAAGTAATGCTGTAGGTGTCCATTGGGTTTTCATTTTAAATAGTCTATGAAAGTTAAACCGCTAAGAAAGATATTACAAAAACTGACCGAATGAATAAAAATAATGGTTTTGTAACTCGTTATGACTTCATAATATACGAAACTTTACGTTTTAAATACAACAACAATGCAAGAATATGTTGTTGAGACTGCGAAAATAATTTTCATAAAGCAATTTGAAATCGCCGCGACGTCTCCCACCTTTGTCCTCGATTTACAGTTCCCATTGGAGCAAACGCTAGATTAAAATGTTTCACACACATCGTGCATGTATATTATATCAAATGTTCGCAGCGGTTACATTCACGGCCCCCGACGGACCGCACAGCTCGAGTTGCAGAAAGAGACGTGTCACCGGCACGTTAATAAACGCACACCTGCGCCCGACCCGCACTGAACTCAGTCCAAAACCATCTCTAACTTTCATTTTCGGTAATAAAAAGTCTCCCTGTACATTTTTCCACGTCTAATGTAAAGCACCTCGTGGTGAACTTCAGGCTAATATCCTTTCCGTGCCCAGCATTCAGGACGCGTATTACAGTACGCCTCTACTTCTAATATATGCAACTTTTTCTGCCCCCGCACGCCGCAACCTCGCCCTTCGTCTGACGTATATGTATGTGCCATTATAGCCCCAAATGTTTATATCAAAAGGGCAATGAATAACGATTGTTATGTTTGTGACCAGTTTCGGAACGACTAAAATAAACTTGCGAGTTTGTGAAGGTCACTTCGGGGATGAAATTATGCTGATAGATAATAAAAGTGTGTTTTATATATCTGCTGTTTCTATATAAACTATCATTATAGGCAGGCATTTAGAAAACATTAACACTTGTTTGTAAACTTGTTCCAGCAGGAGATCGCAGTCGAAAAAAAAAACCATTCGATATGAATAGTGGTCCAGCAAAGCCCGAAATCGTACGGAGCGCGAGACGAATAGCGTCGCCTCGAGTCATCGAGTCCAGTAATTTGGACTGAAACTGATGGAATATGCTACTTGTCGTTAATTCTTATCGCTCTAATTATTCGTAGTACGCGTTCACTTTCATATTATCCATGTAAAAACTCCAATAGGTACCAAATTATGTGAAGAAAGGCGCATTTGTGCGAGGGGTAAGCATTCCTGGCGTGGCTGCGTGCCATGCGACCGCAGCTCGGAATGTCTGGAAAGATAAAATGAAGTCGGTGAAATGATGCTTCTTTGACACCCTTCACTAAAGTAATGAAATGTAATACGGGTTCTCTGTCGATAATAATAATTTTAATTGAGTCTACGTTTAACTGCATGATTAGACATTTAAACTTAGGGTATATAACTAACAAACCCGCCCGGAACTACTCACAGGATTCTAATTAAACTTAGACGATTGAATAGACCTTGTTCCGCATCGTAACTTGCAGGTCATTGCGAACATTTACTGTATTGAAAATATATTCTAAAATGTAAGTTTTTTTTTGTTTCGCTAAATCCTTTTTGAATTATGGTGTAATTTTTGAAAATAGCTTCTTATTCTTTTGTGAAAAATGTTTTGAGCAGTAAAGTTTTGTCCCATCTTTTTAAAACCAGTTTAGCCGTGTTTATATCTTCGTTAATTGCAAAGATAAGAATTTTGTTTTCATTCCTTCGATTCACCGCCCGCTGTATCCGGAATAAAGACATTTCACGTCCAAAGATTAGGGGGATTTAGGCTGCGATTGTCGCGGGGCGAACAAGGGCACGGAAAAGTGGTCCTTGATTATGAAACCACGTTCCTGTATTATTTATAGAGTAGGCACATGGAGTGTGAAGCAGTTCATCGGATGCCCGTTAACGTATTGGCATTCCTGTAAATTAGATGAAAGATAATGATCATTACCCCTCAAGAGTCTCATAAACTCAGAGGAAACCGGAGCTCGAATTCAACATCTGTTACATATATCGGTTGGATATAGTACGAATATAGTTGAAAACATTTTGTTTACTAGATTTACCTATAATAAATGCATGTATATTAATAGGAAGTAAAGTTTTAGAAGTTTGCGCTTTTTCATTTTATATACAAATTTTATTAAGAACTGTTTCTTCGTCAGTAACTTCAACATTTTATAAAATTTTCTCTATCCATACTTTACAATGCTTTCACTATTCATAATTTTTTTCTCTCACTTTGATGTTCGCTGCAATCTGCGATCCATCAAATGCTCTTGTGACACGTTCCGCTTCTTCCCGTCTCAAATGTGTTCTCCCTTTCTTTTGAATCATTTGCTTAATAACAGGAGAAATAGAGAGAGTTGAAGTTTTAACATACTGGGCTTTAACATAGAGAAAAGTTAACCAGGTCAATAAACAGCATCAACTTCGAGGGTTCTGGACACCGCGATGAAATACTATATAAGGATAAGACTCATACTACAACTTTTAGTTTATTGGATTTGGAAAGATTCAATTTTCAATGAGTTTGACGTCGAATTATGACTTTACCTGCATTTATGTGTACTATGTTTACATTGGAAAATTTTACTAAATCTTCTTTGTTTCAGATGTCTAAAATAAATAATGACCCAACGGTATGATGACGTGAACCACATGGAAAACAATTAAAAAACATGAAACATAAATTGCCAGCGATAATAGGATTTAAAAAAAAAACAATTTGCTAATGATCACAGGACGCTGTAAAAAATGAAAAGAAACGACATACAAAATGATCAATCTTTTCAACGTCGGCTTTCTCAGAAACCGCTAATTTTAATTACATAAAAACTTTGAACTGGATTGTTTAGAAGAACGAGAGATGCTTTGGAACTGACAAGTGGCTGAATGTATGTGCTTGGCAAAGAAGTGAAGTAGTGATTGAACAGTGCATCGTCAAAAAGAAGAAAATAGAAGTGATCTATCAAGATGCAGACCAACGTGCAAATCGACGCGAAGACGCTGCGGCACTCGCCCGAGCACGGCAAGAAGGGCGTCTACAGACCCACCGCTGAGGTTGGTGCTAACTCTTATTAAGTAACTTGCGTAATTTGCAGAACATTTGCCCAGCGTGGGCACCTTAGCCCGCTCGTATTTTAAGTGGCATTGAGTTGAGTGAAAAGCCCAGCGCGTTTCTGTTGACGGTTACACAAATATTTACTTAGATCGGTCATAAAAGGCAGAAGGGCCTTTTATATCCATTTGCATTCGTTCAAGCTTAGTCGCTATAGATTACATAAATTCTTATTTTTAGAGATTCTGGTATTTAGTGACCAAGCACGAGCGACCCTCTAGGTTTAAAAACGTACAGGTGTAGTGAATAAACATTGCACATCGGGACAACTCAGGAACTACGAATGGATAACTGCGACATTGGGTATTCATTCATAAGGTTTCGTTAATTGTCATAAATAAGAGTGTGTGCGTCCCGTTGCAGCTATAGTTTGGTGTTTCATAGAACAAAATCGTGCGATAAAGCTGTCATTCTTATTTATAGGATTTCTAGCTGCACGTAAATTCCCAGGACTATTGAATGTATCTAATGCTATCTAGTGCTGAGTAACGGAACTCTAAAAGCAAGTAGTTCGTGTGAGCTGTTTATAGAATAAGGTGTAGTATAATCAGTTTCGACGTTAGTAATTATAGAAAGTTATAGCATTCAATTAATCACGAAATAATTTATATACGAAAAGTATTATGTTACTTGTCGCTTGTTGTAGTTGTGTCTTGCATTAATGTATCCAAACAAAGACAAGCTCGGTTTGTTTGAAAAAACAAAAAAAAAAACTTTAATTTCTTAAAGAATATATTATCTTAGCAATGGTGGGATTCAGTTTACAAGTGTAAGCGTCTAACGACAATGGTTCTGGTACTAATGCCGCCTTTGATACCATTTTAACTATTTTATTTTGTTCCATGTAAATACATTAGTCATAATTACGATAACTTATCGACGACTTGGCAACAGCGCTCGGAAACATTCGTGGTTTCCGAGTTTTCCCGATGATCAATGTTTACGCTACACCTGTAATATGAATTTGTAAATAAACAGAAATACTCGCTAATGTGTCAAAAATGAGTCCTTTTTTCCGTAAGCGTATTTTATTAAGCAGCTGGTCATTCAACACCGCGTCGACATTCGCCGCACGCGCCCCGCGGACATTGCCCGAAGGGGTACTTATATCTGTAGGTACTTGTTACGGCCCATAAACGAATCCATACCTACTTGTGCCACGCATGACACAGATTCTTAGCAAACTTCTTCGAGGTGGTACCGTTTCATAAAGTGGTAATGGTATTTTAACTGACCCCAGCGAAAATAAACAAAGGAATATATTGGTTCTTTCTAGGTTTTAAACTAACTGGTAAAATGTCCTAAATATAGTACCATCTTGTGCCTTGTTCTCAGAAGATTGTCATTATACCTAGTCTGTCATTTGTATTTTCAATTATATACATTAGGACCACTGTATACGTTATTTGAAATTCCTTTCTTTAACTCTGAACTCTTTCATTAACTGACTTTGAATAAAAGAGAGTTATGTATGTCCTGTCTGTGTTTGTATGTTTAAACAGTAATAAATTAAAAAGAAATGTTTTTACCTATTACTTTGTTACTTTCCAAGTACCACTAAAAGTGCACCTAACTAATATCCGAGGTCTGCACTCAAATCTTGATTCGGTCCACTACCACCTTGAAACCGACAAACCGCAGCTGCTGTTCCTCACAGAGACGCAAATCAGATGTCCGATTGACGCAGCGTACCTCAGCTACCCCGGGTATACCCTGGAGCACAGGTTCGTACATCGTGCCGGAGTCTGTGCCACCTTGATGCACAGTTTTTCCATTTTGTGGCTTCTGGTAGACACAGGAGTTACACAAACAGTGTACTGCTGTGTTTACCGATCGCACAGTGGAGATCAGTAGACAACTAAGCTGTTTCAATATCTGAGTGAGACGTCTGATAAGATTCAGCACAGGTATCCAGCGGCGCAACTAGTCCATCTGGGGGACTTTAATGCACACCATCAAGAATGGTTGTTCCCATACCAGAAGACCGATCACGCTGGGAGATAGACGCGTAAACTTTCGTTAACGCTAAGCCTATCCCAGCTTGTCAGTGGCGCCACTAGGATACCAGATGTTGAATCTCATACGGCTAATTGCTTGGACCTTCTGCTGACAACTCATCCGGACCGATACTCTGTGTTTGTGGAGGCCCCACTGGGTACTTCCGACCATTGTCTGGTGAAAACTGTATCCGTATACTCCCCACCCGATCAGGGCCCTAGTGGTATGAGACGGGTGTGGCGATACAAGTTAGCAGATTGAGACGAAATGCGCCATTTCTTTGCGTCATATCCCTGCCAGGCGTGCTTTACTTCAGGAGACTCGTCGAGTTGTGCTGATGCTATAGTCGAGGACTTGCGTTTGGGTATGGAGTATTACATACCATACTCTGATGTACCCAATAGACCCCAATCTCGTCCACGGTTTAACGCTGATTGTAGTTGTGCTGAAGCACATAAACAGTCTGCGTACCAGTCTTGGGCAGATGCTCGACTACGCAAAACTCCGAGTACTCAGAATTTGAAGAAAGCTTTTAATAAGGCCGCCAAGAAGTGCCTCTTATTCAGCAGGCAGCAAATTCTTTTGGTTCCTGGCCAAAGCGGTCGAATCTAACTTTTGTCGCCCATCTTTGCCGCCTCTGCTGAGGCCGGATGGTTCGCTGGCTCATACTACGGAAGAGAAGGCGAATCTCTTTGCCTCACTCTTTGCAGAAAGTTCGCGTCTACATGCCGCAGGGACTCTACCACCTACTTTACCTCAGGTTGCACCATGGCGTCAGTTCGCATATGCCAAAAAGAGGTACTTAGAACTCTGCGAAATCTAGACGTGAATAAAGCTAGCGGGCTAGATGGAATTCCAGCAACAGTCCTGCGTAACTGTGCGCCTGAGTTGTCTTCTGTTCTCACACACCTGTACCGCCTCTCACTTGAGACTGGTGTAGTTCCCAGGTCGTGGAAGCTTGCAAAGGTGCAACGAGGGCGATCTACTGGGGATCTTCTTGTGTATGCCTGTTACATATGGAGCGAGGCTATAGAAAAGCAAGGCGAAGCACTTTCAGTGTCTTTGGACATTAGCCTTTGACAGGGTCTGGCACGCAAGCCTTTTAAGTAACTTCCCTCTAATGGGCTTCCCACTGATCTTTGCAATTGGATTTCAGATTTCTTGAGCGAACGTTCGATTCGAGTGGTCTTAGAAGGCTACTCTTCCGAACATATGGCGATAGTTCCTCAGGGTTCCGTGCTGTCTGCAACTCTCTTTCTGCTGCATATCAATGATATGTTAACTCCAGGTACCTTTGCGTATGCTGATGACAGCACAGTTGTAGATAGGTAGTTGCCCAATGCAAGGGTCAGTGGAGAGGAAATCCAGTCTTGTCGAGAGTCCATGGTTAGTCGTTTAGATTTGACACTCCAGGCAGTCTCCAATTGGGGCGATGCCAATCTTGTCAAATTTAACGCTACCAAAACGCAGGCGTGTCTATTCTCCACAAAACGGAGTCCCTTTGAGCTGACTTCGACTTTTCGTGATATATCCATACCGATAGCCGATTGTCTCCAGCTACTTGGAATGGACAGGTCCAATTTGAACTTCGGCAGATACATTGAATCCATGGCCAAAATTGCAGCAAGGAAGCTTGGGATCCTTTCCAGGGTGAGGCGTTACTTTACACCGGGACAGTTGCTCCAGCTGTACCAAGCACAAGTTCGATCGTGCATGGAGTACTGCTGCCACCTTTGAGTTGGCTTTGCGACATATCAACTGGCCACTTTGGATTCAATTGACAACCGTGTCAAGAGGCTTATAGGTGACTCGGAATTGGTGGAGGCGAAGCTGCAGAGCCTTGAACACCGCCGTAAAGTTGGCTGCTTATCGGTATTTTACATGATATATCACGGAGAGTGTGCGATGGAATTACACGATTTAATTCCGCCTTCTCCTTTTCATCACCGGGGGACTAGGCGTAAGCTTGGCTTCCACCCTTTGTTGTGGATATTCCAAAGATTCGCACGAAGCGTTACGCTTCCACATTTATATGGCGAACGGCTATGGAGTGGTATTCCCTACCTGCAGACTTGTTCCCTGAACGTTATAACTTGGACCTTTTCAAGACGAGAGTGAATAGGCATTATTTAGGTGTGCATGCTCCATCGTCGACCTCATCGTCACTTTCCATCAGGTGAGATGGAGGTCAAATGTGCACCTACAAATTTCTGTTCGAGAGTGTTGACACGTACAAAAGAGACGGTAAAGCAAGTTTCTCCATTACCTCTCCACAAAAGGGACTCCTCCATCTCCTTGTACACCGTCGTAACTAAATTTATTCCTAGACTACTTCCCCTCGGAGTGCGAACAAAGAATGCCTCTCTGGGAACTAAGTGATAGTGACGCTCACAAATAAACGTAAGCGCGCATTTTCCCGTAGCTAAAGTAAATGGTTTTTTTTTCACTTTAGATTATTTAGACTAAGAATACGTTTTTTATACAATTATTGTATTCATAAATGGTTAAATAAATATTGAATTACAATTAAAAGCCTGTCAAGTACAAACTTTTTAAAGGTATTATAGCGAAGTTATTATTAGAGTAATTTTTTACTAGCAAGTTATATTTGCTATCACTGGGTAAAGGCAAAAAAAAATTCAAAAATTATTTATTGTTCTTTTCACCTTAACAATACAAATTACAGGTTATTTAAAGAAAAGAACATCATACAGTGACATTGCGAGGTGGAAGACTGGTGCCTAAACTAGGTTGGACCTGTACTATAGGTCACCAGGTATCCACCACCGGATCTCAATGATACAATATTGTGATGTTTTTGAAATTACTAAGACGTTAAGGGTAAATTGGCGTGATGATTTGAAAATACACTATTTATTTGTTATTTTGAGAAAAGGTAGTATGACAAATTAGTTTCAATAGAAAAGTTAGTAAGTGTGATAAG